AACTTCAGTGAAGATTCAACTTGTCTTCCTTTCTGCCCAAGCTGGATTTATCTTTTCCTAGAAGTTCCCTCCAGAGCTGGAAGTGCTGTTGCACATTTAACTAGATGACTGTGTGTATGTGTGGGAAACTCTTAGATCTTCTCTCTCCGTCACTGTCTTCTTCTCTGTAATTAAACATTTCAGGTGAGCTGAAGTGCGGCTCTGGGAGAGCAAACTAGGATAGAAAGTTAATCAAGCATGCCCAGCTTGATTATTCTGCTAATTGCAGAAGGGGGCTTTAGAAGCCTCTCTCCCCATTCTTTTGGTTGTGTAGACCTAGGGGTCTGATGGGATTCCTACCACTTCTGGTTGGACTATCATGATTTATAATTAAAGTGGCACGAGCTTGAATAAACACGGCTACAAGGGGAGAATTCCCCAGAGGCTGTGTAGTTTATTAACTTAAATTAATCAAGGGAAGAGAGAACAAATACTAAAAAAAAATTTGTCCACTCTTCAGTGCTCAAATAAAGGCTCCTCTCCCACTGTACTGAGAGAAAAGGAGCTTGGAAGAAACTCAGAAATTGCTCAGTAGAAGGATGAAGGTTAATTTATTCTAATAGGTCTTAATGATTTTCAGAAGGCAACCACTGAATCCTGCCTTCTAATCCCATTAGTGTTTCAGGATAATGATTAGCACATTAAAAAGGAAAGTTTCCCCCCCACCCCTCCGATGGAATGAGATGCAGGTGCTGTCATTTAACCTGCTTGGAGTTGTTCACCCTGTTCTTAAGCGCAGAAAACAAGGGCTTTTAGGCAAGCTTAGCTTTTAAGCCCAACTTAAAGTTTGGGTTGCACGCTTCTATGGGAAATGCTAAATGAAAGATAATGGTTGGAAGGAACTTGTTGGGAAATGGTCAGCTTGGCTGGAAGGAGGGGTCAAGCAGGAAACTAGATTGGAAACGTGATGTAGCTGCAAGCAGCATAAGCTTGACCTCCCCCAAGCTCCATGGTCTTATCTGGTCGGTCCCAGGGGAAGGCAATAATTGGGTGAGATTCTTGTAACATAGGTGGTAGACAATAAAGTTGCTTACTCTAGCTAGTTACAAGTGGCTCTGGTTGCTTGCGCCTGATAGAAAACCAAGATTCAAAGAGAGATCCAAACAGTGATCTGAAGCTGGTTACAGGAACTAAAGAAAGTTCTACCACGCTTGCCCTTTTAATCCAAGAGATAATACTGGCTCACACAGGCCCGGCAGGATAGATCCAGAGGTGGTATTCAGCAAGTTCTGACCAGTTCTGGAGAACTGGTAGTGGAAATTTTGAGTAGTTTGGAGAACTGGCAAATGCCGCCTCTGACTGGTCCCGCCAACCCCATCTCTTCTCTGCCTCCCATTGAGTCCCAGCTGATCGGCTGGGTCTCCTTTGGTTGCCCTGCACAGGAGAATGGAGCTGGAAAACAGGTTAGTGGGGTGGGGAGGGAATGGGGATTTTGCAGTATCCTTCCCCTGCCACACCCTCCAAGCCACACCACGCCCACCAAACCACACCACGCTCACCAAGCCACGCCCACAGAACCCATAGTAAAAAAAAAAAAATTTGAATACCACCACTGGATAGATCCCCAAACTATACAGAATAAATTGCAGTAGGATTGAAAGCTGTCCCAGAGTTATCTTGTGGTGAGATCGGCAGCCAATACATGTTATTAAATAAACAAACAGAAATAAAATAAATTTCTAAGGTGCAGGAAGCTTTCCCATAATACCCAGCTGAGGTGCAGATTTGATCGGTTCCATATGGGTTCGAAGGCAGTGCGTATTGCATATCCACTCTATTTCTCCATCTGATGTTTTGATCGACGGAAACGTTGAGGGTTTCATTACGCTGCCACAAATCAAAGGCCTTTCATTTGCTTCTAAATGGCCCAGCGCTGGTTCTCTGGAGCAAATGCCTGCCGAAGCCTTCCAATTAGCATTTCCGTTTCTGCTTTAGATCCTGATTGGTGATGGGTTGCTAAGTGCCCATGAAATGCTTAAGAAGACCCAAGGATGTCATAAGGCTTCCTTTATTATTATTATTATTATTATGATCACCAGCGCTTCCTCTCAGTCTGTTTTCCAGATTACCGTTCTGTTGATGATGATGGGCTGGGGAATTCTTGAAGGACCAGAGAAACTTTTGGAGGCGGGAGGGAAAGTAATGTTGCAGATCTTGACCTTATGAGCCACAGCTGGAATACAGTCAGCGCCGTTTATGGCTGGGATACCATTTGGCTCAGTTTCCGCTGAGCAATCGCAAAGTGTCTCATCAAACTCTTTCAGATGTTTGGTTTTTCCCCAACTTTGGCTAGTCCGGTTGTCAGCAACCCGTGGCTCTGGAGCTGCATGCGGCTCTTTGGGCCCTCGGCTGTGGTTCCCTGTTGGGTGATCCCACCACTGGCTGGCCCCGCCCCTTGGGCTCCCCTCCCAGTCACCCCTTGCCTGGCCTGAGAAAGTAAAACACAAAAAACAGAAATGAGAGGGAGGGAGAGAGAGAGTCATTTCCCACAGAAAACACCAGAAGCCACAAAACCTGGATAGGCGTGGCCGAGGTGTGTGTCACGTGACTGGGTGAGAGTGATGTTGAATTGGCCACGCCCGCCCAGATTTTGTGGCTCCCAGTGTTTTCTTTTCTGTGGGAAACAGGTCCAAATGGCTCTTTGAGTGTTTAAGGTTGCCGACCCCCTGGGCTACTCCAGAGAAACCAGGGACTAGTGGTAGTTCAGGAACCTGGTCCGTCTGAATTAAACAGAGTCAACATTCCCACATAGTTTTGTTCCCTACAGTATCAAGCTTGTGAACTCTCAAGTTTCCTCTTCCCGCTATGCATTCGAAATGGACAGTGATTAATATTGATAGGTGTGTGTGTGTGTGTGTGTGTGTGTGTGTGTGTGTGTGTGTGTGTAGCATGTGTATATGTGTGAGTGGTGGGATTCAACCTTTTTTTTTTACTACCGGTTCTATAGTGTTTACAAACCACCGATTTTAAGCTTCAAAACTGGTGAGTAAAACAGCTGAGGCAAAGAAATGAGCTGTGTTGCATGAATTAGCTGGGCTAAAAAACAACAACCAAGGAAATATAGGATGGGAAAAGGCAGGGCGAATGGCCGGGGCCAACTGCTCACCGGCGCTACCGGTTCTCTACAACCGATGCAAACCAGCAGCATCCCATCACTGATATGTGTGTTATACATGTGTATGGGTAGATATATATACTTTTGAGAGCAGGCAACTAAATTTCATTTTGAATGTGGGCCAGTGTGCGCACATTCATAAATTTAAAAAATGACAATAAAGGTTATCTTATCTTGTGAAATTCTGTTCAGAGTGAAGTGGGCAATGGATACTTCTCATTTTCTGTTGTATGAAAGAGCAAGACTATGCAAATTTGTGGCTCCCTCAACCATCCCAGTGCATGGTTTAGCATAAGGGTACAAAGTTTACACCCCCTCCCCCCAAAAATACATTGGGGATGGGCGTCTATGACAATTCACTACGGCTAACTCACTTTAGGACCACTCACTGTGAGACAAGAGTTACATTAACATCAGATAAATAGTGAAATGGAATCATTAAAGAAAGGATGCAAATGGAGGGACAGAATGAAATGTGAATGGCAAAAATTAAAGTAATTTTTGTTTATTTTAAATAATTAAATAAAATTGTTCAATTGCCCCACAGCAAGTTGTCCCGTGGAAAATTGGCTGCAGCGAGTTGGCTGTGGCAAGTTATCCCATTCCGTTGGGGATGCCTCTGACAATCCTTCCAGAGGCTACAGTGTGTAATGTGGTAGGGCAGGTGTTCTCAACCTTTTCTTCACCACGGACCCCCCTCTAAATACCTTTTGTGGACCCCCAAGACTTAACTCGAGATTTAAAACATTACGTTTCTTCAAACCTTCATGGACCTCCTGTGATGACATTGTGGCCTCCCAGAGATCCGCGGGCGTCAGGTTGAGGATAAATTATTAAACAGCGGAGGAATAAGAACATTAACTAGCCTTTGTTCATGTAGTTTCTTTACTCAGTTTACTCATTATGCCTATCGTTTGGACTGCACATCATTTTTGGTACACTGCTCTAAGGCCAGATAGCTCAAAAGCGGTTGTGTGGACCTCGGATTTAGTGTCTGTGAAGATTCTGATTCAGAACTGAAGAAACCTCTTGGTTGAAAAGCAAAACTTTGTCCTGGAAGAAAACAACAACAAGAAAGTCTACTTTTGCCTTTCGAAAAGCACCTTTGGGACTCTGATTTAGTGTTAAATCCAAATTGAATGATTGAGATAACCGAAGCCAGTATAACTGAAAATCCAAACAGTTTTAAATGTAAAAAAAAAAATAGTGATGAAAAGGAAATGAAAAAAGAACAAAACACAAAAGGTCCTTTCTTAAGTGGAAAAAAAAACCCCATACTGAAAATAGGTATGTAAATGCTTCCCAGAACTTAATAAACTTCCTTTCCTCGAACAGAAAAAATATATATGAATAATCATGTACTCCCTTTCCCAAACAATGAAAAAGATTGAGCTTTGCTTTCTTGGGTGACCTTGAATGTGAGGCCTCCTGTGAAGTTTGGAGGTAGGAAGAAAGGCCTTATTTAGCCTTGCCATAATCCAAGGTTTATCAACCCCAATTGGCTGGGGTCCCAGAACTCTAAAGCTAACTCTAAAGACCCCTACCTTAGGACTTAATATAAGGTCCCTCGCATTGTGTTGCAAATCACCTCCCGTCTTTATCTGGAGTAATCGGTAAATAGCAAGGAGTTTTGAACAAACTCTGAGCCCTTAGGGAGGCTTAGGGGGAAAAAATCAGATAGCGCAGCCCTTTTCCATTTCATAGGTGGAGGTAATTAATGTTAATTACTGTAAAAGAGTTTATCGAAAGAAAAAGAACAGTTTGGGGTGTGTGTGTGGAGGGGGGTGAGGTGCATCTGTTAGGTCCCCTGATGGGGCTGTACCTTCTTTTCCCACTTGAAAAAAAGTCAAGGCATGATTCTGAATTTAGATGAGAATTTAGATCTCCATGGTGACCCCAGTGTCGATCTTCATGGACTGCCCATTAGCTTCCTCGGAGCACTGCGGGCAGCAAGGGGTGGGTGGAGCCACCTGAAGCTCAGCTCGGCATGGAGGTTACAGGTGGGAGAAGGTGGGAGGGGGGATGACATGGTTGCTATTTGAAACGTTCCGTTTCTTTTAGCCAAACTGGTGTATGCCTGCACTCCGATGCCAGGCCTTTTCAGACTGGGGAATGAGGTCTTCGCACTAGCTTGAGTTCACCAACACACAAACCCAAGGTTATCAAAAAGACATGATGATTTAGCATGGTGTATGAACCCAACCACTGAGTTATCTTCACGCGTGGCTTGTTTGCTTATTTGTATCTCGCCTTTATTATTTCTACAAATGATTCAAGGCAGTGAACATATCCGGCACACACCTTCCTTCTCCTATTTCCCCCACAACAGTCACCCTGTGAAGTGATTTGGGTTGAGAGGGGTGGGTTGGCTCAAAGTCACCCAGCTGGCCTTCACGCCTAAGGCAGGACTAGATCTCACAGTCTCCCAGAGATTGGCTCAAAGTCACCCAGCTGCCTTCCACGCCTGAGGCAGGACTAGATCTCACAGTCTCCTGGAGTCACCCAGTTGGCTTTCACACCTAAGGCAGGACTAGAACTCACAATCTCCTGGAGATTGGCTCAAAGTCACCCAGCTGGCTTTCACTGGTAAAGCAGGACTAGAACTCACAGTCTCCCAAAGATTGGCTCAATCTCAGTCACCCAGCTGCCTTTCATGCCTAAAGTGGGTCTAGAACTCTAGAACGTGACTGGCTGGGGAATTCTTGGAGTTGAAGTCCTTTCAGTTGCCAAAGTTGGATACCCTGTAATAGACAGAATCTTGCCAGACTAAAGCTATAACCACCTAACCAAACAGATAGAAGCCATCCTGAACGTTTTTTCCTCTCCACACCATTCAGTTCTCTTCTCTCAGCCCCTCTCTGGAATGTGCTGTCTCTCCCCAGGAAACTGTTGTGTTGTTGCTGCCATTCCCCCACCCTCCCTCACACACACACACTCCTTCAACTGCGCATTTCATCACACTTGCCAGCGTGTTAAGAAGTTATACTTTGTGCTACAGAAAAGAGAATAATAAATCAGTGAAATTTCCACCTTGGAGATTCAGCTGCGGGTGGGGGAATGCCTGTGTGCAGGGACAGGCAAATGCATTACTAATGAACTCCGATGCCTTTGATACCAAGAACTTCCTTTTCTCAAGCAACACAAAGCAATTTCTTCACTCTCAGTCTTGTCCCTCGGAAGAACAAGGGGAAAAATAGTGCTGAATATTGAATCCTTGTTCCTGAACTCATTGACTCTCATATTTGAGGTTGTTTCTCTTCAAAAGATGAGGAGGTCATCGAAAGGGTTTCGTTATTCAAATCTCAAGCTCTTTTCCACCTTGACAGTTTTTAAGTTCTTCTTCCTGTTAAAAGAAAACCACGAAACCAGGCAGCGATCTGTCCTACTCCTTCCTACAAACAACATGATTCATAATTTCCATTTCCTTCATAAACAGACCATAGATGGGAAGCTTTGATACATTTGAGAATATAGCAAGGTTGGCAACTGCACTCCAAAATCTCGTTTTTTTTTGTTTTGTTTTTTGCATGAGATCCTAGGCAATTTTTTTTAGGAGGCCAGAAGAAATTGCCGACACCCCAATCTGCCAAATATTGGAGGAAAATAGGGAAAAATTCCCCATTCTTAGGTTCACTTGGATCAGATCTTCTCAACCTTGGCACCTTTAAGATAATTCCCCAGCCACCATGGATTGACTTCAGCTTTCCGAATTGAATTGCAAAATTCTGGGAGTTGAAGTCCGCGTGTCTTAAAGTTGCTAGAGTTGACAAACACTAAAGAAACCCCATCCAAGAATCTAGAATCTTCCTCAATTTACATCATGCCCAGAATTGTTTTTGCAGGATCCAAAATCAAAAATCTCTTTGAGGCCTTCTCTTCTTCCCTTTGGGTAATTTTTTTTTCTTTTGCATTGAAAGGAAATGCACCACTGAATTAAATATCATGCACTCCAGTCAAGCTTGCCGGCAACATGTCTTCCCCCCGCCATCTATTAAATCACATATTTTTATTATTATTTATTTTTTCCTACCGTATAAAATTAATTTGGGAACCATTTGCCCAAAGGGCAAATGATTTTTCGGTACATTGCTCCAATCTTTTATTAAAGAAAAGAGACTCTGGTGAATACACTTTTGGGTGTAAACAATAGCCAAGAAAGGAAAACACAGCATCAGTCCAAGATTTGAATTGATTGTTTGAATGTGAATTGGGGAGTTGGTTGATCATTAACCAGGAACCATCAGGTTAACGCCTTTATCTTTTCCCCCCTTACTTTTGGATAAAACTAATTAGATTAACAGGAATAGCCAACACCCCAGAAGACAAGCTCTCAGGATCCAGACTTGAACAAATGGGCCCTATCCAACAACACGAAATTTAATGAGGAGGAAAGCAAGGTGTCACACCTGGGCAGGAAAAACCAATGGTACCAGTACAGGTTAGGCGAAACCTGGCTCAAAACCAGTAACTGTAAGAGGAGAACTTGGACAATTACTTAAACACGAGCCAGTCATGTGAGGCAGCAGCCAAAAAAGCTAATACAATCCTTAGTTGTATAAACAGAAGCATAGAATCAAAATCACGTGAAGCATTTGTGCTGCTTTATAAAGCCTTAGTAAGGCCACACCTGGACTACTGCATCCAGTTTTGGTCACCACGTTACAAAAAAGATGTTGAGACTTTGGAAGAAGTGCCAGGAAGAGCAACTGAGATGATTAAAGGCCTGCAAATAAAACATATGAAGAACAGTTGCAGGATTTGGAATTGGCTAGTCTAAAGAAAAGAAGGACTAGGGGAGAAATGATAGCAGTATTCCAATATTTGAATAAGCCATCTTCTTTGCTATGTGTTGGGGTTTTATGTATTTGTGGGCATTAACAAAGTTGCCATCTCTGTGGATACCCTCCCCAAATGGCCGGCTGGGGAATTCTGGGAGTTGAAGTCCACCATCTTCAAGATGCCAAGGTTGAGAATTTTATGCTCTATAAAGTTCTCCATCTGTGATATAGATAGGGGCAGGTCTGTCCGGCGAGCGGCGCTTTTTAAGTGATCCTACAGGATAGAAATCCAGCTGTTACAAATCAAGTGACTCAGTTTTTATTGGCAGATATCTCAATTAGTAGGAAAATGCTGGCTTTAGCCGACACTGTTGATATTTTGTTACCGGTTCTCTTTTACTCTCTAGTTCTCTCTCTTTTTTCTTTTTAGACTTTTTCTTTATTTCTATTTCTATTGGTATTACTGATTAATTGTTCTGACTGCCGGGAAATTCCTCCTTAGTCCTAAGTTGCTTCTCTCCTTGGTTTCTACCAGTTGCTTCTTGTCCTGCCTTCAGGTGCTTTGGAGAATAGCTTGACTCCCTCTTCTTTGGGGCAGCCCCTGAGATCTTGGAAGACTGCTATCCTGTCACCCGTAGTTCTTTTTTCTTTTTTTTTCTTTTCTGCTGAATAATTGCTTCACCATTCCCCAAAGCTGGTCCAAAGGGGAAATTGGACATACCTCTTAACATGCCAAAAGGATGGGCCCATGATAGCAGGGGCAAATTGATCACTCACCTGGGCTGTGAGATTAAAACAGGGAGGCTGTGAAATGCCACCGATCAATGACCTCTCTTGTCTCGAATGATGAGCGCATGTCAAGCCACGTTCCGAAAGGCTCTGCTTGAAAAAAAAGGACAAGAGAGACTGATTGATGGGGAGGAGGTCGTGCTAGAAAGCCACGGGTAGCTCCTGCAGCTTCTCAGATCGGGAGCATGAAATGCGTTGGCCAAAGCTTGACTTTCTTCTGCACATTTTGGGGTCTTCCTGTCTTCTTTTCTGGAGATACATCTTAGAAAGGAGAAGGGCCTTCTTTCCCACAATGATATTGTCAGGATTCCGGCAGTTACCCCCAATTAAATCATGAGTTTCGAGTCAAACTTCCAAAACTTTAAAAAGATTTATTGGGAGTTAATATGCTGGCATTGTCTGGGTGTAGCCAACACATCATTCATTGTCACCTTTGACCCTGGTTTCTCCCCGCCACCCACCCTCTGGGTGTATCATAATTCATATTCTCCAATGAGACACATCCATAGCCAAGAGTCATCAATCCTGTTCTCCAGTTAGATATTTGCATGGCAGAAACTTCAGTCATCTAGTTATTGTATTTGAAAACTATTTAGGGAATGCACTTTTGATTTCCAAGCTGCTGCATTGCTCTTTCAAACCCCTTTCCCCCACCTCCCTTTCTGTTGGCAACTCTAAAAAGAGCATAGAAATATTTTATGAGTTGACAGGTATCATCCGGACCACAGTTCCCGTCCCCAACATCACTGGATAGTACAGGTAGTTCTCAAGTTAGAACCATTCGTGATCGTTCAAAAGTTAAACAACTGGCTATATCATGTGGGGAGAATTCACAGGAGGAAGCAATGATTTTGGAAGAGTTTAGCAGTAAAGGAAACCAGGCCATCCAAAGAACATGACAGCTAAAAGGGGATACCAGCCAGAGCATGGAAACACTCAACAAAATAGCGCAAGATTGGGAGATGTGGCCCATGGACTCCCCAAGAGCGAATGAATGGTCTGAATGAACATCATCATCATCAACAGTGAATTATGACCTGTGCTCAAAGTTATGACCTTCATACGCCTCCCTTGTCCTCATTATGTGATCGCAGTTCAGGCCCTTGGCGACAGGCTCTTGCATTGATGATGGGTTGTAGCTTCCTGAAGTCCCCCGATTGCAATCTGCAACCTTCCCAGCCAATTCCCGACAAGCAACATCAATTGGCAAAGTGGATTCGCTTCACCAACACAATAAAAATGATTGTAAATTCAGTTGTGGTCATGATGACTCATTTTATGACTGCAATGACAGAAATTCTGGTCCCAGTTGCAGTTGTGAGTCGAGGACCACCCATAGGGGTTTTTGGTCTTACTTCTTTCCTTTATGCCTATACTTCCTGGATTTAT